GTTCCACGGCCCAGAGGAGACCACAAAATCCCATGCCCACAGGAATAATGCGACTGGGAATTTGAGAAGGATCTATGATCCGCTGTCGAGCGCATCGACTCCCGCCTTTTTGCAAAGCGACATTCGGGTCCACTTTGGCGTTCAACCGCGCGTATCTATGCTACAGCGAACGAGCGAACGCCCTCGGCTGACCTACCTCTGCAATTGCACGTAAAAACTTTTGCATGTGGGTCACTAGCTTGGTAGGGATACGCCCCTAAGAGTGGTGACAACCCCTTAGGGAAGGCAAGCTTATGCCCCGCATGAACCTATCCTATCATAGGGGACCGTGGGAAGTACAACTGGCACACCCGGCTAGAGCGGCGGAGGGACGACGCGACCGCGGCCGCCTCGGCGCTTCGCGGGGCTATTATGCGTCGCTCCCGAGTTGTCGCTATTTTTGTTTTGTTTAACTCCTGCGTGATACGGCCGAGAGGGTTCTCGCGCTATGCAAAAAGGCGGGAGCCGATGCGCTCGATACCACAGTCGGAGTCTTTTTTGTGATTTTCGAAATATGGGACGCAGAGTGAGTATGCCCTAAGAAAACAACCAAGGAGGCAGGCACGTGTTTTTTTGGCCTAGCGAATTCAAAACCTGCCGCGTCCGTATTCGTTCCAAAGAAAAAAGTGCTTGGCTTGTTCTTCTGGTTGGGTTCTCGAACCCATTTGGTGCTGCTTTTCAGTCTGTTTTAGTGTTAGGTTGTTTTGATTTGGTTGGTTGTTCTCTGGGCTTTCCAAGGTCGTTTGTTACAATGTCATTCAGCCCTCTTGGTCAGGAACAGTGTTTTTGATGTGAGGGACGCTGGACCCGTTTTATAACCCGTATTAAATTAATGAATTAGGCGACTGCGGTATGAACCAGGCCGGAGTGCCTGGGTCATACGGAAATGCTCGACCCGTTAGGTGGAAAAAAAAAAAAAAAAAAAAAAAACGTTGCTGCAACTTCCTGCAAGGGGTGCAACTTGGCACCAAAGGCTTTTTATTGTTGCCAGAAACAAATGAGAAGTTGAGAACAAATAAAAAGATTTGAAAATAGGAAAACAAAAATGAAAAACGAAAGGGGGAATTTGTCAGGCGCTCCTGTAATGTCCATAAGTTTGCGTCGCGCCCTTCCCACCGCCGATGTACCCCGTCGCACCCCTCCCACTGACCACTATTCAAACTTCCCATAAAACCCGGTGTCAGTTGGGCCTGAAATATTTTCGTTATGCCCCTACCCGTAACCGGTTCCAAATTTGCAGTATGCCCATCACTGAACATTTCCATACGCCCCTGCCCCAATAGGGTGCATCTTTTCAGTGCACCTCTATGGCTACGCGCATGGCAGCCACTTCATTTCTCTCTCTCTCTCTCTCTCTCTCTCTCTCTCTCTCTCTCTCTCTC